GACCAACATGTCGTCAACATAGACTTCCATGGGTTTTTTGTTCTGTTAGGAAAACAAGAGTTCACAAGCCGCTGATAAGTGGCCCCAACATTTTTAAGACCAAACGGCATTACCCTGTAGTAGTAAATACCTTGGTCGATGACAAACGAGATATGCTCCTGATCTGGGCTGTACATCGGTATCGGATTGTATCCGGAGTATGCGTCCATAAAGCTAAGTAGTTCGTGTCCATCAGTGGCATCCACCATTTGATCTATTTTTGGTAGAGGAACGTTATATTTAGGGTATGCTTTATTAAGGTTGGTCAAATCTATGCACACCCTCCGGTCTCCATTGTGTTTCTTCACGAGAATTGGGTTTGCGATCCACCCGGGATATTTTGCCTCTCGTATGAATCCATTGGGTAGTAGCTTCTGCACCTCCTTGTTAAGTGCTTCGTATCTGTCCGGGTTTAGAGGACGGCGTTTTTGCTGCCTTTGCCGAACTTCAGGGTCAACATGCAGCCAATGGCAAGCAATTGTGGGGTTGATTTCTTTCATGTCTTCGTAGTCCAAATCAAAGACGTTGAGGTTCTGTCTAAGAAAATTCACAATTTCGCTTCGGATCGAAGGTTGCAGCTCATTCGTTATCTTGGGTTCTTCTGATGAGTCATCGGCACAAACTTATATTTCATCCAATTCTTCCACATGTTTTCCTCCTTCGATTTTGGTGTGCAGGTCCAGTGAATCAAGTTCGGGTTTCCATGTGCTCGCCATATACACTGTTGGGGGAGTGTTGATGACCGGTATAGGCTTCCAAATGACATCTTTCGGCAAGTTCCATTTTTCCTTTCACCTTGCCAATACCATGAGGCGTGGGAAACTTGATTGAATAGTTGTAGAGGGATACTCCTGCTCTCAAACTGAATATCAGGGGTTGTCCCATGACAGCGTCATATGATGTCGGAGTGTCGAATGCCAAGAATTTGGAATTCATTCTGATTTGGCGAGGCGCCAGTCCGACCGCTACGGTGAGCTTGATTGACCCCTTAGCTGTGGTTAGGGCTCACTTAATCCAAGAACCATATTAGAATATGATCATAAGAAGCTGGCAGGTATGCCCATCCATTTAAGAGTGTTGCTGAAGAGAATGTTGATGGCACTTCATGTGTCGACCAGGACCTTTAGGATGGTTACACCCGCCACAGTTATTAAGACTACCAGGATCACATCTGGCTTCCTCTTGATCAGAGGTTGCTTCCTTAGCACTTATGTATTTCTCCACTCGGTTCAAGAGCTCGTGGTGAGTTCTAGGTCCATCTTCACTGACCACCAAAATCTCGTTCTGGGCCTCAGCCCAGCAAGTATAGCCATGAGTGTGGCATCATCAGATATCTTTTCGACTTCCATGGATTGTTTGTTGAATCTACTTAGATAGCTTTTGAGGGATTCACTTTTTTCCTGTTTAATGCTCACCAGTCGCTCTTTGGGCGTAGTCCTGGCTTTGGAGCCCTTAAACTAGGCCAGGAATGCTGTGGCTAGGCCGTTCCAATTTTTTACCGACATCTGATGCAATCTCCTGAACGACCTTTGAGTTTATCTCCCAAGGTTAGGGGGAAAGCCCGCAACATGATGACATCACTTTCCCTTTGTAGCTCCATCCAAGAGGTCTACTTATCAAGGTGGCAAAGCGAATCCCCTTCTCCTTCGTATGCAATCATCTGGGAATCTTTAGTTTTTCAGGCGATGGTTCGATAAGGACATCTTTAGTGAAAGGAGAATGTCACTTAATGAGGTAGTCTTCTGTACCGCCTTTGTTTTTGGCCTCCAGGTCAGCGATGCGTTTTTTTAGGACACTCATTTCGGGCTTTGCTTGCTCTGGAGAACGTTTTAGGTCAGGTTCAGCATGCCTTCGCGTAAGGGTTAACGAGTACTGAGCTTCTAACCTATCAAACACACTACCAATTCTCCTAGCGGCAAGCTCCGTTACAGGGACCTGGCTCCTGACTTCGTGAGTTCGACTTCTGGAGGATTCTTCTCTTGAGAAGTGGAAGGTCCTATTGGTGGGGGGACGTCTGGCCCTTGTCCTCGTTGGAGAATCCACCTCGGTGTCTGGTAAGGATAAGTAGGCTTGGTTTTGTTCCAATCGGTCAACTGCATTTGTCAGCTTCTCTAGGTCTTTCCTTATAGCGATCATTTGCGGGTCGTTTGTTCGGTTTTGGTCTTGAGGAATTGGGTGGAGTATTGGTCTCATAGGGCCGAGTATGAGATTGATATCTGGTACTAGAAATACAACTCACGACTCGTGTTTTTGGAGGGAGGATGGGGCTATTTCTCACAATACGGGGCCCTTCCTCTAGCGTCAAACTATTGACGTCAAAATTTTTAGAGATTAATCTCGGGTCAACATTAAGAAAAAGGGCAATCTTCCTCTATCCTGAAAAAGGGCCAAGGGCAAATGGTATTTGTAAAAGATTAAATTGCGTAATGCTTTTGCTTGAAAGTTTTTTCTTCTTCTTGTCCTTTTAAAGAACCATTTCCCTATTATTTATACATGATTACAGTCGAAATTATATCAAATAATCAAATCAGTTACAAGATCGAGCTCGAAAGTCGAGTCGCCAAATTCTCCAGTGATTGGTTGACAAGGCCGGTTGCCTCGTGCCATTGTTTTTCCCAGGTAATGATAACCTACAAGCGATTTTAAGGTTCGAGGCCTCGGATTGGTGGTTGTGGGCGATGGTGACATCACCCTCTACAAGTGTATGTGATTGAGAGGGTGATGTGACAAGAGGTAATCGTGATATCTCTTGAGATTACAGCGATATAATGCCAGCTGAATTTTATTACCGAACTCACATCTGCCTAAAGTGAGGTCTGAGGTCTACGAATGACAATTATGAGACCAAATGTCGGTGGTCAACAAACGCTATGGTAAATAATTGATCATGTTATAAGTTTACTAATGATATTCTAAAATTACCTACGTGCATATAGGTGGAAAGGGAAATTTGTTGAATAAATTAATTGCTATCCATTTAAAATTTATTTTAACTAATTGGTAACAAAATTTATGAGAACAATGTTTAAACAAGAAGTTTTATATTTTAAACATTATATAAATGTTGTAACTTAAGTTTTAAATTTTCAAAGCTTAAAATCAATTTTAATTTTCAGTTTTTTATTTAATTATCTTTTTAATATATAATTAAAATCTCATAATTTATATTGTAACTTATATGATTTAAATGTTTCCTTCCTCTAAGACATAATGCAATTGTCTTAAATCTAGAAGGCAAAATGAGATGAGAATGTGCATTTAATTTGTGGTAGTGTTTTAATCTCATTCATAATTAGCGGTACTCCTATTTTGGTAGGTATTCTAAATAAAATCAATTATTTGGTTATAATTTATTGTTATGAAAACAATATTTTGCTAATATGTTGAATAAGAATTTGTAGATCTATTAGCGGATGAAAATCATGAAAGTGTGAAAAACATGTGTATTAGCCATTTCCACACAATGTTGGATCATATCAAAAGAGATAAATCGTAAAATCGTATACTCACTTTAGTCAAGTTGGATATCTTCAGAATAAGGGGGCATTTAAAATTTCAAATAGATGCACCTTACGTACTTTGTCATTAAACTGACTCTTCAAATGTGTTAAAAATTAAATTGTAGATTTGCAGGTGAAATACAAGAACTCAATGGATGCATATGCTCAAACATGTTCCTAAAAGTCAATTTTTAAATTTCATATGTTTATCATATTATAATTAAACGTGTTATTAATATTTTGGAAATTTTAAGAAAACTTTGCAAGTGTTCAAACTGCAGGCAGAGAATAAAAGCTTGTAAATTGACATTACCAATTTATTGTCTAAAAGGAACATGAAATAAATTATAGTCCGAAATGAACATAATAAATCATCGAGGGGGGTGGGGCTTAAGCCCATAAGGGAGTTACCTCCTGGAGTAATCCAATCTTTGTGATTGGAGAGTCCATGAATAAAGTTCAATGTGGTTCAAACAACCTGCATTGTATGACTTGTAATAGCATTATTTTATTGTACTCATCCCTATGGTGATAGTACTAATAATAATGTGATGTTAGGAAGGGCATAATCTTATAAGACTCACCTATGTAAGAATTGTCATCAGATCGTGGCTATGAAATTGTGTTATTTCCTAGAGACTTTTGCTAGAATCAAGTTTAGAGCACATGGTCATTAAAAGCGCTACCCACTATGAACTAGAGCCTAAATCGACACTGTGTGTGGAACAATTGAAATTGGTTAAAGAAACCTAATTCAAAGCTTAGTGCATTATGACTCTCTCAAACAGAAATTGTTATCACTAAGTGAGGTTCAAATTCAAAAGACACCTACACCTATTAACGTTGCAACTATTACATATATTCATCTATTTTGAAAGTTTAAAACTTGTGCCGTTTTAAACTTTCACAACAAATATTAACTTTCAAATTTTGATTTTTATATTAATTTTTAATATAAAATTAAATCTCATAATTTAGGTTGTAACTTAAGAATAAAAGTTTCAACATTTCGAATTAAAAACCTTTTAATTTTTAGTTTTAACATAAAATTAAAAGACCATAACATATATTATAACTTATGTTTAAATGATATAAATATGGGGATTGAAATTTTAATTATAAAAGGTGATTGGATTTCATTATTGTACATATCTTACAACAATTTGAAGTATTGTCCTTCATACAATTTCATGCTATTTTGAAAACTCGATGAAAGAATCGTTCACTTATCTCCCGATGGTCATGCCCATAGAGGAAGAGTCACATGAATTTTATCTTAGAGTCATGAAGTGCCAAAAGAACCCGCATTAAGAGAGACAACACGACTTTAGGACAACATCTTCGACGTGATTTCCATAGCTTACATTTCTAACTCTTCATCTCACATATTCATATTATTGTTAAATTATTTTATTGTGATATATAAATTAATTATATTAATTGATAAACATCTAAACACAAATCACACAAAATTTTCAACAAGTCCAAGCGTTGAAATCTAGAGCTACTTGACATTTCAATCAAGTAATAACAATTTGGCTAGCTGGCAAAGTAACTAGAGTTGTTTTAATCCAACTCTATCCTTACATTTGCTGGGTTTGATATTCGACTGGGACTTACTCGAAAATCTCCATTTGATGACAAACCAATGAGAAAGTTGGCACTCATGTTAAAATGGAGCTGATAATGTCCTCTTGAGAGTGGGCATCTTAGGAAGTTTAGCAGCTGCAGCTAGATATAACTGTAATCACAAGTAAGCTACACTGTCAGTCTCTTTCTTTTATGTAGAAAGAGCAAAAAATTTAGCTCAATAAAGAAACAAAACATTCGAGTGAATCTTAAGTATAAACTGTAATTTAGCTTATTTTTAGTAACCTACTTATCAAAACATGCCATAAAAGTCATGGTGAGGAATGACTACCTGTTGTTGCTGTTTCAAGAGCCTAGCATTTTCTTTCAACAAGCTGGCCACTTCTAGATCCAACTCATTAATATAAGCCTACATAATGCACAAATTTGAGAAAAGAAAAAAAAAAAAAAAGAAGAAGTTAAAATCTTGTTCAATACTTTAACCTGCTTTCGAGCCCTTGAACGAGTAGCTGACTCTCGATTCTTCATCATTCGCTTGTCCCGTCGCTCTCTAGAATTGTTGTCAGACACTGCCAACCTCTTATTCCCACTAGCACCTAACAATCCTTGTGAAGATAAACCATTAGACGGCACAGGATTCTCATAAGAGGCCCGTGAATTGGGCGGAGGCTGCAAACCTGAGCTTTGCCGACGAGAATCCGAGTTTCCAAAGAAGTTCAATTGATCAGGACTAGAATTCAAAGTGAGAAGGGTGGCCGGAGGTGGAGGCGGAGAGCCGAAGTTTGGATGGTCTTTGTCAAATGGTCGAGCCAAGAAATCTTGAAAATTAGCTCCTCTTAAGCTGGTTTTCTGTGTATCGTCCACGGAACGAAGAGAAGAAAGGTTAATATCATCCCAAACTTCTTCCATGGATTTTAGATTTGCTGTTTATGGAGAGGCAAAATGAGGGATCAAGAGCGGAAATAGAAAAAGATTGTTGGGCTATTCTGAGTCGAAAATATGTTGTCAAATAAACATTGGATCATCGTAATTTCATATGGGTTTTGTCCAGTGGTTTTGTGTCTGGAAATTGTCATGTCTGTAAATCAGTGTACTTTGACACGTGTCGATCTGTGAGTTCAAACCTTTCTCGAATATATAAACCAATAATGTTAAGTCCAGACGGCTCATCACTCCATGGTTTCTTTTTAGTACTGGACATTTGAATGTTCACACCATGCATGATTGAAATTTTGACTTCTTATTTATCAATTAGTTTGATTTGATCTTTTGAAACTTACTTTTTTAATACTTGTTAAATCACATTCTTCGGAAAAAAAATCCTCTTATTGAATTCATCTATTTTGACAGTTAAAAGTCCTATTTAAAAAGATTATAACCCCGTTTGATAATTATTTTTTTTAAATATATTTTTCTCCCTCTTCTTTTCAATTATATAAATTTTATTAAAATAATATTATACGTAAATCAAAAATTTTTCTTTATTTCTCAACCACAAATTTCACATCAATTTACTATTTTAAAATGAATTTTTACATAAAAATGTTTATCAAACACCTCCTATAATGCACTTTTGTCGTCACCGACCACTCAACAAGCAATGAGACCAACACCACAAGTCATAGTTGCCATCTTTGCCACTGCTACCATATTTTGTCGTTCTTCGTTTCCTCCAAACCAACTAACAAAATATGTGTATTCATTTACAATAAATAATAAGGGTGTGTTTGAGCCCCATTATTTGACATTATAATGAGATAAATAGTATTTTTTTGAAAAATGAGTGGTCGAAATTTTTTTGATTTACATGTAATATTATTTTATTAAAAATTGTGTATTTTAAAGTATGAGAGAGACAAATTTAATTTAACGTGATAAGAAATAATGGAGCTCAAACGGGGCCAAGTCAGATAAAAAAGTGATGAAAATATCTTGTGCAGTTCTAATCCTGGCCTCCATTAATTGCTAGGACTATTCGACCTTCATTTTTGTTCTCTTTTCTGTTGCCTTATTTGTTAGTTTTTACACATGAAGAAACCGTAAGCTCCCAAGCAGTGGGAGGAGCCATTCTACTGCCACCAAAATCTGAATTTCCAGATTAACTCAAGAAAGCTGGATGAAACTAACTTGAATGGTCCTAGACAGCCATGTTAATAATCAAAGATAGGGGAAAATTGTGAAACCTCGCAGAAATTGGGAAGCCATACATGTTCCTTAAGATGGTGAAGAACATTCGAGATGTTGTTTTTACGAACCTACGTCAAGTTGTAAAATCTAATTATTATCATTTTGTGAAGTTAGTAGGCAGATCAAGTCAATGATAGTTAAGAAATTTGACACTCGTAATTTTGATTTTGTTCTAATTATTTTATTTAGCGGGACCATCAATAAGATTTTGTATTATCATTAGAAAGAGATATGTTAGAGAAAATTGGATATGTGATTTTTTCCTAGTGACTAGTGAGCTTATCATAGTGAAATACTGGTTACAGGGGTGGACACAAAAATATTTAGTTAGGGGCAAAACCAAATTTTGTACAAATTGAATATTTTGTTATTAATTTTTGAATGATTTATACTTGACCAGAGAAAATGCAAATTTACATTTGAAAAACATTTATTCATTAATATTTGGCTTATCACAAAGAAATCCGCATTTACGTTTAAAAAGTTTATAGTGTATTTAATACAAACAATTAGTTCAAGTGATCGATAGGAGAAAATTCAAATTTTGGTTCAAACTAATTGAAAATTAGATTGAAAAGTGAAAATTTGTAGCATATGTGATAATTTGTAGAAAAATTATAAACAAATTTTAAAAAAAAATTAGAAATATCAAGGTTTTGATAAAAGATGTGAGGGAGAGAGTAAGATAAAATAAAAAAATTCAAATTTATTGTAATTTTGCCCTTTTTTAGTGGGGGTTAAAATCAGTTTTTTAGTAAATTTTGATAAAAATTAAAGATTCCATAAAATATGCTATTAAAATTAATTATTAATTTTGATTTATATTAAAATTTAGATTTCAATCAGTATTAAACAGTACTTATAAAAAAAAAATTAAGATTTAGGGTTCCTAATTTTCAGTAACTCATTCCAACATAAGTATGAAATCTTGAATTTATAAGCGCAACAGGTTCTTTCCACGTTATTGAGTGGTACAGTACCATTAATAGCTTTCAGGTGGAGCTCAACCAATATCATACGATTGAGATGGTGTGTACTAAAGACGCTGCAATGTTGAACAAGGGACTTAAGGGCCGGGGGGGGGGGGGGGGCTTTT